TTTAGGCTTGTTTTATTCATTTATTTATATTTTTAGGTCCTGCGTACTGGACAGGTAGATCTGACTCAGTTTGGTATCGATCCAAGTAAATGTAAGTAATGCAAAATTTTACTTCATCCATGGCTAGAACTAAACTGCTTTTTATTAAACTGGGAATTCAACGAGTTAAATTATAATATTAGAAGTTCATCTCTTTTATACATAAACGAGCAGCATCGATTCTAATTTGCTGCAGAAATTTGTCGCTCATAATTAGCAGTGCTTAGATCAATATTTCAAGATTCAGCATCTGGCTTTATTTGTAATCATTTAATAATGTCTGTATGATGACAAGTTGACTTCGTTTCTTGACTTTCTCTCAGACAAGTTCACTGTCCCGTCTTTTCTCGAAGCCCTTGAAGATTCTGTTTCTACAACATCTGAACATGGAGAGTCAGCGCCAGGTGGCAACGATCCAAAACCTCAGGCTCATCAAGGCAGTGATGCAATGGATGAAGGTCAATAATAGCGTTATGTTGGTTTATATTTTGAGTACCTTCTAGAAGCAATCACATTATGCATATACATAGTTATATCGATATGGATTGCTTGATTCGCACTTGAGTTAGATCTTTTTTCTTGTGGGCACTAATGATTGTCCATCAAATTTGCGTAATTTCAAGGATCTATTTGGAATTCTCAGTGTTGAATTTTCAGTCCTGCGTCAAGATATTCGTTGTATTTTCTCGAGTATTTATGTTTGGATGCCCCTTGAAACCTTTCGTGAGAATATGTTTACATCCTCTTACAGAATACGTTTCAGCACGATGCTCGATTCTCTATGCATGAGAATAGGCTCTGCGAAACTAACATTTTTCTATAGATTATACCTTGCGAAAGTGGGTGCCTATCTTACAAGCTTCCTGCATAAAGTTTGTTATGAGTTGGACCATGACAGAATATTTTGGGAAATTTTTATCTCTCTCACATGTTTTGTCCTTAATTGCATCTATACTACCTATATAAAATATATTGCATCTATATATATATAAAATTACTAGCTAATAGAATTTAATAAAACCTATTTAATTTTACCTATGTGGCAATTTAACAATTTTCCCTCCAAAAACCGTTACATTTTGATGTATTTAATCTTCCATTTAATCATTAAATAATTAACACTCATCACTTCAAAATTAGAATAATCATTTTAAACTTTTGATTAATGACAATTGACCATATAATGTGTTGACCGTATAATGTGATTAGATGTTATTATTGTTGTTACATTTAATTTTTTTTTTTTTGAAAATAAAAATATATTTGAAATTCCTAAATAAATAATAAATAATTCACAAATAAAAGACGTACCAAAATATACATTACATCCAATCAGATAAACGCAATTTAAAAAAAAATATTCCAACTCTTTTAATTGTAAATTTGGTCTGCAAAAAAGTGAAAGAAAAATAATTAATCATTATATGTACAGACTCACAATAATTTATTTATATCTGTGCAAATGAACAGGTCGAATACTAGTTAATACCTAATTCTACCAAAATAATTAGTATTAGCATGAGAAAAAAAAACGGTAATATCCCTTTAATTTGTGTAACTGATTAGATTATATTTGTCATGATTTTTTGTTACCAAAAATAATAACTGTCTTTTCCCATAAATAGGGCAACTGATGTAATAACACCACTAGCAGATTTGACAAATAACAACAGCGTTACAACATTTAGAAACTCCAACATCGTCCAAGAAAACACAAC